TACATGCTAGATTTTATAGATACTTTACACGAATAGATTTTTGTACCATGGAATCCTCTCTTCTTTTTCCCTTTGGTATGACTTATGAGGGATTCCTAGACATTATATTGCCTTTGCACCTTTTCAGTGCCAGGCTATTTTGTTAATAATATACTCTGCTTACTTGCCTTTTCAAAAAGAAAAAAATAATTCGTTTCAGGTAATTCATGCAGAAGCCTCTAATTTATGATGTTATTTGGTGCTAGATTTCATATTATCTTGATGAAGAAACAGGTTGGGCACTTGAGATCTCAGAGCTTGAGAATCAGCTAAAAACTGCAAGATCCAGGGGTGTTAACGTTAAGGCTTTGGTTGTAATCAATCCAGGCAACCCAACTGGGCGGGTAATGGTTTATACGATTTTTGAAGCTCATAGTCATCTCCTTTTATTTTGTATGGACAACGTGATTTACTTCATTAAATGAGAGGATACAGTGATGGTAAATGTGGACCTCCCTTCCCTGCAAATTTTCAAGAATCTTTACATGTGGCATGATTAGTTCTCTATGTATGCATTAGGTTCTTGCTGAGGCCAACCAACGGGAAATTGTGGAATTCTGCAGGAAAGAAGGCCTTGTTCTTCTAGCTGATGAAGTGAGTTAATTCCTGTTTAAATGCTTCTTTGCTTGATTCCGACAAATTCTCTTGCTTCTTTGGAAATTTAAATAACAGTGATTCTGCAGGTTAACATTCCTTTTCATTTCTGAATGTTCTTTGATTAATTTTCAACATTGTAAGAAGAATAGTAGTCTGGTGCACTAAGCTCCCGCTATGCTTGGGGAGGGCTGGACACAATGGTCTATTGTAACATTGTAAGCACTCTCATATTTTGTGGAACCTGTGCAGGTGTATCAGGAAAATGTCTATGCACCTGACAAGCAGTTCCACTCATTTAAGAAAATATCCCGCTCTATGGGATTTGGAGAAAAGGACATCTCTTTAGTTTCTTTTCACTCTGCCTCAAAAGGTAGATACGAATGCATTCATCTCTCCCTCTCTGGTTGGTTGTCTTTCTCTTCTGTTTGTCTGGATGTTAGGAAGTTGTGGGGAAGAAGGGGGCAAGGCACGGTATTTCATTTTCAAAGACCTCTGAATTGATTATTGCTGTTGCTAACTTTTCTTACTGGTTTTAGGATACTATGGCGAGTGTGGAAAGCGAGGAGGTTACATGGAGTTCACTGGATTTAGTCCTGAGATAAGGGAACAAATATACAAACTGGCATCTGTTAATCTTTGTTCCAACATTTCTGGTCAGATTCTTGCAAGCCTCATCATGAGCCCTCCAAAGGTTGGTAGTGCCATGTTCCAAAAGGAGTAAAATGGATATTGAAGATTCATATAGTTGACCCCAACAAGTTTGGGTTTGAGGCGGAGTTGTTGAGGAGGAGTGGTATCTCCACCATCACTTCAATATTTGGGAATTAGCAGTTATTGCATTCCCAGAATGTTGCCTCAATGATTTTCTGGCTTATTTTGTCAAGTAGAATCTGAGTCATTCATATAGTAATAATTTTGGTATGAGGTTAATAACATGGCATGAGATGGATTGGTCATGTCCTATATCGACCTCCAGATGCATCAGTCCAGACTCCGGAGTTGTGAAACCATGATAATTGAATGTGTTAAAAGAGGATGAGATAGACCTAAAATCAACAGGTAACTGGTTTTTCCCTAGGCTTTCGAGGAGGAAGAAGAGTAAGAAAAGGGAAAGGATTATATGAGAGAAGGGCAAATTTTCATACTCAGAGAGAATGTTTCCTCCTTATCCTGGACAAGAATCCTCCCATAGCCCAAGTCCTCCGAGGGGAACTTTTGACCCCTTATCCTGGATAATAATCCTACATTGCCTAAAGTTCCCAAATGAGTATTGTGGATTCATCCTAAACCTGGTGATCTCATGGTCTAAACGTCGAATTAGGTTGATATTGCTTCAATTAGTTAAGATTGCTGGAACATTTTATCAAATTTTCTAGGTATCACACTTTTTTATGTGGTAAAATAAAATTCGATGTTACTACGACGACATGAATTCAGCTCTCTAATTGTGAACTGTAAACTTTGAAGCTTTGGTGTGAGGCCCCTTGTGTCCGTGTTACAGATGCCTGACTCCTATCAGCACTGCTCTGTTGATTTGTGTTCAGGTGGGCGATGAGTCATACGAATCATTTTCTGCTGAGAAAGATGCAATACTCTCATCATTGGCGAGGCGTGCAAAGGTCAGTAGAATTAACATATAAGACTGGGATTGACAAAATAAACTTCTGGTTTATTTTGCTGAAGTGGTTAAGTTGTTTTACAATCATGAGTCTTGAATTTGATAGTAGAAGTGCTCAAAATAGTAAGCAAAATGTCTAAAATTTTCTCCAGAAAAGTTGTCCCAGACTATTTTTTTGCTTAATTTTCATTTCTGCTTTCCGATAATGGTGTGTGAATTTTTTTTCATTGGAGTTCCATGTAAGCTTCCTTTTGGTGAATTTCCCATTGATGCAGTTTCTAAAAATCGACTACTTCGTCAACAGATACTAGAAGACGCATTCAATAGTTTGGAGGGAGTCACATGCTATAAAGCAGAAGGTGCATTGTATTCATTTCCACGTATTAACTTACCTGACAAAGCAATAAAAGCAGCAGAAGAAGCTAAAACTGCACCAGATGCCTTTTATGCTTGGCGTCTCCTTAATGCCACTGGAATTGTCGTTGTCTCAGGCTCTGGATTTGGCCAGGTGATTGTTATGTTTTTGCCCACTTGCTTCCTCATTCCACTTATTTATTGTTACTGATAGTCAAGGCATACTCTGCCAACTGTCATCGCTCATTTTAGAAAACGTAGATGTTTTTCACCGGGACTATTGAACATTAACAGAGAGAACTTAATTAGCATATCCCCAACACTTTGAATCTCTCTACCTCAGAGGAATTTAACTAATTGGAAAAAGATATTTGCGGTGGGCAAATAAAAAAAATTCAAGAATGCAGTACAACATAGTACCTTCTAACTAATGAGAGGGTGGTGATTTTTGGTGCAAAAGCAGCACATCAGAATTAGGGGACTCTTATGTTTCTTTAGAATTGTTGGATTAGACTAAATTTGTATTTACTTGTTGCTTCTATGAAGCGTCCTGGAACTTGGCATTTTAGGTGCACAATATTACCGCAAGAAGAGAAGATACCAGCTATTGTATCTCGTTTTACACAATTCCATAAGCAGTTCATGGATGAATTTCGCGGCTGAAGAATTGGGCGTTCTTTATTAAGAATTTTGAATAAGAACATCTGGTAAGCTTTGTTTTATTTTTCATCTTCACTAAAACAAATCATACGAAAAGTGGTACCTTTTAATCTTATTTGTATTTGACCTGGTATCTATTTTTCTCCTTCTAGATGATCAAAGTGATGTAAGTTTGTAATTATTCTCTGGTTTGCTTAAATAAGAAATTCCTCCTTGGCTCCTTGCATATGTAAATTCTAGACGTTAATATATATATGAATTCCTTGGAGAATTATATTATTCAAAATAAACTTATCAACACCTTTGAATTGACATCCATTTTTAGTTTAAATATAAGAACCTAATTTGCTTTAGTAGATGTTTTCAAAACGAGATAGTCACTTAAATTGGTAATTAATAGGAGTAATACGTCAACTTTAAATAAAACTCGATAATCATTTTCAGTTTAGATAATATTATTATGAAATGTCTATAAAGGCGTGCTAAGAGCTCACTTTCAAAAAGAACTTTAAAAGATACTGTAAGTACAATTTATGTGTGTGCCAGAAGAAATAAAGGTAAATTACCTTTTATGTGTAGCGTAAAGGTAGTGTTTTTTATGTTTGTCTTATTATTAGGCTAAGATTCACGTAGCAATGGCTAGTCTTTGATTTTGAAAAAAAAAAGGGATTATTTGGAGGCTCGAATTATTTTCCTACCCTAGAGGTTAGTGTCCGCTAGTACAGCTTTAAAGAAGGCGATTCAAAAATGAAATTAAATCAAACTAGTATTAAATATCCTAATTTGTTTGTTTGATTTGACTGATGGGTAAGAAAGTTAAAAAAAAAAAAAAAGTAGTAAATTTTATAGTTTAAATTAAAATATCTTTAAACGGATAAAAAAGTTAAAACTAAATTTATAAGAAAAAGAAAGACACTCTTTTTAAAAATGGATTAAAAGAATCGAGAGGAGAGAGTAAGATTGACTTGCAGGTAAGAAAAATTGGGGTTTTATCTAGTGAATAAAGAAAATCTGTAATGATAGTGTCGTGTATCCGCAGAAATCTATCAAAGTATACTTGTTTTGGGGCCTCTCTCTCTTTCCTCAATGTAGAGCTTGTCAGATGGACCTCATATGGATGTGTTTTGTCTTCATGTCTAAATTGGAAACCATGCAGACCAAGAATCCCAAAAAGCCTTTGTCACAGCTAAGGCCTTTTCCTATCAACACACATTAAAATATTTTAAAATCTTTATGTAAACATTTTTTTAAAAAAATTTAGTGGTGTCATGCTATGCATTGGTGCAATGAAGTTGTAATAAGAGAAATTAACAATCTAAAACCCAAGTAGCCCTTCTTTTCAACTACTGCTTAAATTAATAATTGAAGGCAAGGTACAATTATTGCACCAATTTTAGCAGCTTATCATGAGAAGCTATGCCCAGGTAGCAGTTGAACGTGGTCCCAGGACATTTAAGATCAAATCAAACTTATGATTACAATAGAAGTTAAAAATCTAAATTAACAACAAGCACAACTGACGAACAAACAGCATCTTGTATTTCTTTTTCCAGCTAAGACATAGACTCTACTAGTTTGAACAGTCTGATTACTGGAGGCCTTAATTCTACTACCTCGGAAAACTGTGGTCCTATTCAAGACAAAGGATTGCACCCTCAACTTTGATCAATAGATGCACTGGTAATCCAGATTAAAATGTGGAGAACAATTCTAAACACAAGATGGATTCAAATTTGTAAAAGATACTGGTCAAAAACACGGAGTATCACTTCTTGCGAGTTTGTGTTTGTGTTTGTTACATGAGATATCACCAAGCACACCTCAGAGCCTACTAAACCAGCTTCTCAATTTGTGAACATTCCATTTTGTAAAAGAAGTTGCTGGGATTCTCACAGTGAGGCCACATTATAGGATATATAGTAACAAATTTTTCATCTTAGTGCCAGAGCTGATAATGTCATCGTTTCACACAATCAATTAGAGTCGCCTACTAGAATGATGTGTTGGCCCGTAAAAGTGTTGCATTAAGATTTTTTTCTTAGTAGTAACGAATACAGAATGAATCTCACTGAACATTGGTGCTCGATTCCGAATTAAATAAGATGGTTTCGGCATGGCAAACACCCGCAGGAAGATTGGGCAGATAAATGTGAGTTTTGCCTTGTCAACATCATCTTCCGTGATTGATCAGCCACTTTTTCTATTTGGTCCTTGTGTTGTAGTTGAGCTGTAGTTCTCCATTCTTCAGCTTTTCTGTGAACTATCGCCATTCTTTTCATTAACTTCTCTTCCAGATTTGATTTCATCTTCTGGATTTTCACCTGAAACAGAAGCAAATGCTATCCCCATAAGAGTATTGTAGTCGTAGGAGTCCTCTAATCCTTGAGCCGGTGGTCTAATGGAATTAGTCTCTCTACCTGTTTGAGGTAGGTAAGGACGCAAGGTCTAAGTACACTCCTCACTTTGTGGGACCATACTGAGTGTGGAGTTGTTGTATAAACATAACTTATGTTTCTAGTGTCTGATGGCACAAGTTAAAAAGTTGAATCAGGCCATTTATAATATTCTTAGGAACAAAAAGGAGGAGGGGACGCACTAATTTCAAAGGAATTTTACTACTGCATGCAGCTGTTTCACATGGGTTTGGAACTTCCAGAAAGAATTTGTCATGCATGTAAATATAATAATGCATTAATGTTGACTAATTTGCTATCATCGCATGTGAGAGGATAAAAACTATAAGCAGTACATAGGGGGAAGAGGAGGAAACATGTTGGACCACAATGGAAGAGTACTGAGTGGCTCTATGTAGAGATCAATACTATATACAAGACTCATAAATTGTCAAACATTGCCCAGCTACTCTTTGGAGACTGTTTTTAGTTTATATTCTTTTGACACCTATCATGAAAACAAGCGCAATCAAGGAAAAGGATCGACAGACTTGCCTATACATACTACTTTAGGCAAATCTCAGATCAAAAAGGGAGAAAAGTGAAGTTTTACATAAGACCAGAGCATACGCTTACAAATTTGCGAGGCTTGTTAGGCCAAAACAGACAGTAGCGTAATATGGATTTTTATGGCCTGTAGACAATTCTTTAGGATATGAAAGGTAATGAAAACAGCTCTACTGCCCAAAAGTTAGAAGAAAGGATAAAACAAAATACCTCAAGTTTTTTGGACTGAGCTTCTGCTTTTGCATTTTGGAGGTTTACCCAAGCCTGAATTTTTGCTTCTTCTCTTTGGTACCTACAACTCAAAATAAATGTTAAAACTAAATAAGCTCCAAGTACACATGAAAATACAAAAGACCCAGTGCAAAAGCCACTGACCTGAGACAGCATTTGTTCTTCTCTTCTTCTTCCCACGAACGTGTTTTGGACTCCGAGACGCTTTTTCTACACTCATTATTTATCTCAAAATGTCTCAAACTCTTCGATACATCCTCCTCTTCTTCTTCTCTCGAACTCCAATTGGTTGTAACAGAATCGAATTGTGTCCCAAACTGCAATTTTGCTAGATGGCACTCCTCAAATTGCATGATATCAACTGTGCTATCAGAACCTGAACTTGGTAAGGGCAATGGTCCAGATCTGTCTGCGGGGTTATTGTGTCGAGCAGGCGATGGGCTCTTGAATGGAGTATGGCATCTAGAAGTAGTAGAGCTGCCAATTGGGGTCATTTCTGTCCCAATATCTCTGTGTTTAATCTCATGAATTGCCTCTTTCATCGATTTTCCTGCTGCATTTCCAAACAAAAATCCTTCTTTTGTAGGTTCTAAGCACCTAAATTTGGGATAAATAGACTCCACTTCATCTGTGAACTTATCTGCAGTTACAATAAAACTGGTGTTCCTTCAACATCCACCATAACATTCATAAAATTGTTCCCTTGTATCAGTTTTAAATTTTACCAAAATTAGAGCTACAACTTAAAAAGATATAATGCATATTTATGTGGAGCATGCAAGGGCAGATATAGATATATCCTAACAAAACCAAGTCTATACCCGAGACCTTTTGTCCAACTGCACTGGTAACACTTTTAAGTCCCAGCAAAGATATGTATGTGAAAATATTTCAACAAATACAGAACCCAAAATCTCACATGTACAATGAGGTCATTGAAGATTGAAACTATCATCAAATTAAAATCTTGAACTGTAATTGATAAGCTAAAGGTAAAAGCAAACTCCTCTTATTTATTTTACCTTTTAGAAAAACATCAGTTGCAGCAGAAACAGTGTTGGCAGCTCCAGCAGAAATATGGTGATGGTGTAAAGGTAAAAGCACCTGAAAATCTGAAGCTACTTTAGATACCTTTTCATCTGTAACTCTGTTTTTTTCTGCAAAGACATTTTCAGTTTCTTTAAGCTTGAACCCATTGCACTGCTTTAACAAATTTGAGGATTCTAATGCTGGCTTTAAGCCATTATTATTATGATGAGAAGCAGGGGAATCTTGAATAGAACTTCCATTAACAAGCCACTTCTCTGCATCATCCCACTTCGAAGGGAAATTTTTTCTTGAAAAATTCCCAACACTGAAGCTGAAAATGGGTCGACCCGGTGTTGATGGAGCATCCATATTCCTCCTTGTCACTGAACTTACTCCTTCTTTCCTTAAAAACCCTGCTGCTCCATTGCTTGCTGTTGGCAACGACTTCACAAACTCAGATGTCTCCTTTAGATTAAGTTTGCAAAGCGGGTCAGGGAAACTATCCAAGAATGGGTTCCCATTTTTCCCTTCTAGTGCTGCTTCCTGTCAATAACAAACTCAAGAATCATTAGCTAAAAAAGAAACCCCATTTACATAAATATCATTCAAGAAACATAAAAGAACAATCTTGAACATTCACCCCTTGAGATGGAGGTTCACAGTAGTTAGCCCTTGCAAGATCCATATATAAATACAGTAAGATTTTTGGAATTATTTTTACATGTTAAAGAAAAGTTTTGTTTAGGTGAAGTAGAGAAGTGTGTTAAACATATGCCAATGCAAAAGGAAGCAGGAACAGTTGAATATTAGGTAAGCATTAGAAGAACATGCATTGAAGGACAAAGACCATATACAAATATGATGAGTTTCAGGCCTTGTGTTGAAGAGCTGAAGGGAAAATGAAATAACAGTCCTTGCTGGTTAGGAACTGGATAGTGAGGACAAGGAAGTAAACAAACAAAAAACTTGTACTTATAAAAAACTCATGGAGGTGTGTGATGCCTTGGGAGACGATAAAAGTTCGTCAAACTTGTATAATGGCTGTATTAGTTATATATGAATTAATTGATCTGTTTTAATTTTATATGTAATAGTTATGTGAATTTTTAAATCACAAACCAAACAAGTTTGTATAATGGCTGTATTAGTTATATATGAATTAATTGATCTGTTTTAATTTTATATGTAATAGTTATGTGAATTTTTAAATCACAAACCAAACACAATATATATGAACAATTTATCTACTAATCAACTATCAATTATAATATATTTATACGATATATATACGGTATTTAATTTTTACGTAAACAATTTCCTAGCAACCTATTAATAATATAATAATAATGTAGCAAGTTAGTCCGTATGTCTCAACTGCTGGAACACACTTTTTATTGTTAGCATGTTAAAAATAATGACCTTTATTTTATCAAAAATAATTTAATTATTAACTTTTTGTTTTACTCTATATATGTATATGATTGTTTTTTACAGCAATTTTTATTTTAATAAAATAATCTTGAATACTGAGTACACTACGTAAACTGCATCAGTTTTACCAAATTACCTATTATTAGTTTTCATCATAATTTTTTTTGCATATCAATACTAAGAACTTGCATCCAAAATTTTGAAGTTGTCAAACTTTTTTATTTATATATATATGAACTACATAAGTAATCTTTACACCCGTCATACTACTAAAAAAACATCAAGAACAACTGCAGATTACAAGGATATTTTCTAGTTCCAATATGTAATAACGTGAGGAAAATGAGAAACTTCTTTTAAGGTTATTGATAATGTTAACTAAACTGTGTTGTATAGGGTGGGCTCATGCACCTAAGACTGAATAATTAAAGATAATAGTAGTAAAGTGCTTTGTTAGCGTAGTGCAAAGCAAAACTTATCAGACGTTAATGTTCACATAATTAATCCACGTCAGAGACTGTTACTACTATTAAGGTACTGTTTTAGTAAACCAAAAAATTGAAAAGAATGTCGGGGCCCTTCCTTGGGCTTTTGTCACTACCTACTACTTTATTCCCTATTTAGCATGAGCTTGCTCTTCTATTTCTACGTTTCGACTTGTACCAACAAAATATTAATGTGTTTTGTCGAGGGGATGAATTGAATCAAATTTGAATGGGTGAAAATGAAATGAATTGAGATAATAAATATGCGGATGTTAAATAGTTTGAATGTTATTTGACGGAATAAGGTTTTATATCCATCAATTTGGATTATATATTAACTTAACTTTTAAATAAATTGAGTTAAAACAAATTTAAGTAAATTGAGTAATAAATGGACAGGTTGATCAACTATTGCTTCCATAGGCTTATTTGTCACTCTTATGGTTGTTTAGTTTTGAGGATAATTTATGTTGAAATTAATTATGTTAAGATAAAATTATTTTGATATAATTTCTTATTGTCCGATTGATTTGTTGTATTAAATAACATACAATTACATAATCTCTATGAAGTTGTCTGTTTATAAAAAATATCAAAACACTTTATTTAGTAGAAAAAAGGTTCCATGGACCTTGATTTTTTTCATTTATAAATTCCATTGTTACGGAGTGTTACTACTTACTAGTACATATTACTTTTACTAATCTGATTGTTAAGCTTGAAATATTTATAGGTCCAACACATTTCGTCTTTCAACTAAAAATACTTTTGAGGTAACGTAAAAGATTGTATGGGCTTTTGATGGTATGAGAAGCCACAAAAGATTAACAATATGCTTATAATAAATTAAATAAATTATAGTAGTGGGTTAATTCATACTGAAATTTTCATTTGACTTCCTTTATTTGTTAGAAAATAAATGATAAATAAGGAATTAATAATTTGATGGTCATTAAACTATCAATTATTTTGATAGAGACTCACTCAATTTTCATTTTCAACTCAAAAGTCACTCAATTATGATTTCTTTACACAGAAAGTCACTCAAATTATTTAATTATTTTTTCATTAAAATTTAGTGACATGAAATTCTAATTATTAACCAAAATTCTAAGAATCAAATATATATATATATATATATATATATATATATATATATATATATATATATATATATATATATATTCATTTAAATCATTTAATGACCCGCCCATTTAATTCAACCCGATAAAAATATAATATTAAACATTTTATTTTATCATTAATTTCCTAAATCATTTTCCATTGAACATTTTATTTTACCATGAATTCGCTAAAAGAATGTGGAAGGACAAGGGAGAATGATTTAGAGAATTAATGGTAAAATAAAATGTTCAATATTATATTTTTAGCGGATCATCAAATTATATATATATATATATATATATATATTTGATTCTTAAATTTTTTGTTAATACTTAAAATTTCAAGTCACTAAATTTTAATGAAAAAATAATTAAATAGGTTGAGTTATTTTATATGCAAAGAAGTTATAGTTGAGTGACTTTTGAGTTTGAAAAAGAAAGTTGAGTGACTTTCTGTGCAAAGAAATCACAGTAGAGTGATTTTTGAATTGAAAATGAAAATTGAATAACTTTTTATCAAAACAATTGATAGTTGAGCGATTATCAAAGTTATTAACTCGATAAATAAGTATTAAGTGTGGGAGTATCAACTTTGAAATAACAACTATGAACGGAAAGAAAAAAACATATTAGTTAGATACTCAACCGAAATTAGTCATTCAAGACAACAAAGTTGTAATCTCTTATAGTGTTACTTTTATTAATCAATAAAATTCATTCAATCCTATTAATTTGAATTCGAGACTATAGTCTCACTAACAGATAAAACGCTAAGTCTCCTCACGGACCCAGTTTTTTCAAGTACTCTGACTTTGCTCCATTGTTGTTAACAAAGATCTTTATGTTATAGTTATAGAAAAAAGTTATAAATAAACTTCTTTCTCAATTTCAATATTGTCTTTTTTGTTCTCCTCACTCTTCAACACAACCTCATATTTACTCATCCCTCGTAATATTTATTTAATTATACATAAAGTCTTTTAAAAAAATATCTTTTAACATAAAAAACCTCTAAAAATATTTTCTAAACGGAATTCATTTTCTTTTGTACCGAACAATCCCTCTAATCTTTTTAATTTCTTGTTTTAGTTTTAATGAAAGTTGAGACAAACAAACGTTATCACACTGAGGGGATGAGAGACCCACCAACAAACAAATCAATCAATCAATTGGGTAAATAAAAAATTTAAATCAACCGTCCAAATGACTTTGTAAGCCCTTATATATATATATATACATACCAACACAATACATTAGTTTGAAGATAATGCTGATAGGTCCCACTTCCTCCCTTTAAACCTATAATAATTAGATAATGCATCGTGACAATTGACAAACACCCAATATTAGTTTTCCATAATATTAATATCATTTCTCTTTAGCTTACAAACAAAAAATAAAGGATTAACATCAAATCATTCGAATACTTTAATTATTTCGGTTAAATTTATTTACTTATTAAATACAACTGTATAGAACAAACAGCATTTCATTTCATTTATAATTTTATCTTCTCTTCCATTATTTTTCCCCATACTAAATATGGCTGTGAGACACTCTTCTTTTGGTGCTGCTCCTCTAATTTGGAAATCATGTTCCAACAAAAGGGAAAAGCATGCACAAAGAGTAGTGTTGGTGTACTCATGTGCAAGTGATCAATATATTTCAATCAAACCAACTGCTCTTCAGATCAGATCAACTTCAACCTCAAAACTTAAGGTGGTTTTTTTCTTCTTCATCTTATAAATTGTAGTTAAGTGTGGTGAATTGTAGCACTACAATTGTTTACTGATATCTGTTGATAGATATTTGAAGATGAGTCAACAGGGATAGTTTGTTATAGAGATGAGAATGGAGAGATCACTTGTGAAGGATATGATGAAGGCCCTCGTTACTGCCAACAACTCACCAGATTTTGTTCTAATTCAAGGTAACATAACAATGATTTAATAATCGTGTGATGAACAAGTAACTTATTATCATTATTATGTCTATATGCAGAGGAGATGAAGAAATCATAGAGCTCCTACAAAGATGCTGGTGGCATCATGTAACTGATTCTGCTCAGGACTTCAGTTAGGATCACTGCTCACAAATAACACAATAAAACAGAAGCCACCATATTTATTTGTTTCAGTAGTGTGTATGCTCAAAATGTAAAATACTACTCCATCAATTATTAAGTATATGTAGTGAATTTTCCCAATGTTTTCCACAAGTTACTGCAACTGGATTGGGTCAGTCAAAAATTAAAAATTTACAAGCTTTAAGTACTATAACATAGATAGATTACTACTTGAACCATTTGGACCACAAGTCCACACTCTGAAAACTTAATTCCATTAGCTCTGTGAACATGGATGGAGATCAACCCAACGGGACGAAATCCAAAGATACAATATTACAATTACAAAAAATAAAACACCTGTTCCAAAATCATGCATTCTATAAAATTGGCATTGATCCTTTGGAACTCATATGTACTTGAATTCTACCCAACAAAAGGAAGGAAAAATAAATTAATGAAACAAAAGAAATGTACAACATTATATCCACGGAGGGACACCTGAATTCTAAGCAGCAGAGACTTTCAACGAAATACAAGCCTCACGGTTTTCTGACAAGAAATCAAGTGAGAACGCAACTGGAACTGCGTTCCAAAAGAATGGGAATCGAAAATACGAGAGATGTATAAACCCACTTGTGTGCTCAATATACTGACAAACAGCATTAACAAAATCACGCGGCAGATCATCCACCTTGCATGTTCTCGTCGCATAAATTAGTCAGCGATTTACTGGGAACAACAGATGTTGGTGACCACTGATCAGGGACCATCAGGAAATAGGTCGTCATGGCCTTTCGGAACCTCTTTTTGTACTGTTTAGGTGAGATTATAGTCGGCGACGCATTTTTGGGTCCACCAAGGATCCCAGAGGCCTTGACCCAAGTCTCCAAGTGCTTATCCCACGTATACTGTCTCATGAAGTCAATAATCCCAACAACAAGCTCATTCTTCTCTTCATCAACCCCAACCAACAGTGAGTAATCCATCACATCAACTGCCTGCAAGGATAATTTACTCAGTTAGTCAAGAACCTCACTAACCTTGACCACAGAAGGAATTTGTTAGAAAGTGAGTATACACTTGTATGCTGATTATGAGAAAATGTAACACATATACAACAGCATAATGGTCTTCAGTTAGATGTCAAAAAGTTACTCTTCTTGAGAAAAGCAAAGTAAAATAGGAAAGGAACAAATTTTCTTGTATGTCGGTATTTGAAATGGAAGGATACTTGACACTTCCATCCAGGATCCGCATCTTTCCGATAGACTGATTTGCTATGGAGGATATTGTTTCTAGTAAAAAATATTTGACCACCCCTTTCCTACTAGCAAGCACACAAGAACAGTGGACATTTAAGTATTCTAGCTCTTTCCTTCCATTCTTGGCACCCAAAACTGTTGTTTAGGTAGGACGAAGATGAAGGGCTTTGGGAAAGGCAAGCATCTGAATCCTTAACTGGAGAAGAAGTGAAGGTTAAAGTGACCATCCCTAATTTAATCTTTTTGCAAAAAGGAAGAATTTGTAGGAGGGATTGAACCCAAATCTCCTCTCTATTCGTATCATAATCTAATCAATTTTACTTATTTTAGTTTTGGATGTGGAATTGTGGGAAGGGAATGATAAGGTCCGTGGAGTCTCAAACACACCCTAGATTCTGCTGGACCGTCATCAATTGCTCAACTCCTTATGACTAACAAAGGTGTTTTCTCCCTCCCTCTTCCACACGCAATCCTAGTACCAAACACAAACTAACTTGTTCTGAATAGATATGAGAAATCTTACGGGTTGAAAATGCTTCAATCTACAGCAATCTCAACTTACCAAGCTTTGATGGACCATCAAAGACGAGAAATACATGATCCAACCACAATAGGTGCAAGTAGTCGACATTAAATTCATTAAATGTAAGCACAAAAACTTACAGCAAGAAAAGCAGTATCATTCCATACAGCTCGCTCCAAAAGTCTTTTTGCTTTGTTTCCAACAAAAATAGGTGAAGTTGGCATTGATTCAATCAAGTTCTGATCCAGCAAGACTTTGTTGCTTCCACTGGAATCAGGATTGTAACGAGACCTTGCAGAACCTTTCAGATCATAAAGCCTTGCCAGTTTCCTCCCAAAGAGAAGGTTCTCCATAACTAACACATCCATTTTAGATTCCTTACCTCCTTTAAGCTGCTTTGATGACACCTTCACAGAAACCATTAGAAATAAAAACTCTATACGAACTGATAATAATATAACTATACAATATGTTTGTGCTATGAGCCTATGACTAGCCAGAATACACAGAAAGGAAATAATGAACTGATTATATCGGTAACTACTTCCAAATACTGCAGCAAGAAATATGCATCCCATGCTTTGTGGTTCATTCACCTAGAAGATCATGCCATAAGAAGGTAAATACTAATATCACAACCCATTAATCAAGAATCCATCATATCAATCATGTTTCCCCAGAGCATAACTAATATCTGCCTCATATTCACAGCAATCAGATCACTCTGTGTGCTGCGAGTCTAGTCACAGAGAGCTTTGTAATTCTAAATCAGCAATTTGAGAAGCTGAAGTAGTCAACTTATCACAAATACCTGATAGATCCCCAGAATTTTTGCCAAACAAGTTGGACTCCCCGTGATTATTGATTCAGAAAGATATTTGAAATATTCAGGAGCGAATTTCATAAAGGACTCCAGCTCTGTCTTTGTCACTTGCTTGATAATGAATCGATCATCCAAGGTTTTAGCAAAGAAAACGTTGCTCTTGCCTCCTTGGGCCCCCCACTTCTTACAGCGGCTAAGAGATCTTATGAAATCCATCTCTGAAGGACAACATATCCGCCTCAAGGCTTCAAAGCGCTTTGCATAATAACAAGTCACTGAGTATTTCACTTTCCCCAGAGATCCATCATCTCCAAAAGAAACTCTGGCATGCAATGTCTTTGTGTATGAGAGTGGATCCAAATCAAAAGAGCTGCGAGAAATGGGCAAGGACAAGAGACTCTCATCCATGGATCCAAGACTTCTGTAGGATTCTAAAAACATTTCATCAACTGATTGAGGGGAGTGCAGATTACTGGAATCCAGTGAGTGGAACGAAAAGTTAGAGTCCAAAGAAGCATCCTTAGATTTCTCGAGCTCACCGGATAGTTGAGCATGATAATCATGAGACGCTAGAGCATAAGATATAATACTCGTGGGCTCATCATCATACACTGGTATAACAGTATCATTAACCCCAACAGGTAGGAGCAATCTTGCTCCACTTTGGGCATCTGACTCCCGAAATGATGAAATGTATACTGGATTATATCCCCCAAGTGGATCCAGTTTCTGAGCACTTGGTAAAAAGTTTTTGTTCAGCGTCCTGTAGAAGCTAATAAAAGAAACACCTAACCAGCTCCCAGCGTCTTCCATGTTTTCGGAGCCTTTAGAGGCTAAAAGAGAGGGAGTTTGAGACAGCATAGTCGCATGGTCTTCAGTATACACTTTTTCAGCCATTCCAGTTGTAAGTGTATTCACCAGATGTGGTTCAGAAGATTTACAGGTATCACCCTTTATCACTACAACACCGGAAGTTGTTTCACCAGTCCAAGCTGCCTCGAGAGTATCTGACAAACTCTCCATGTTTGGGAACTGCCCAGCGGATAGTGCTCTTCGCCGCTGTAATATGGATTCTTCGGGATGTGATCCGCAGAAACTTTTTGTTGCAACAGGAAGACCAGGTGGTTTTTCGATTGCACAATCAGCATCAAAATCAACTGCAGATTCTTGATGAACAGCATCCACGTGACTGTTTTGGCCAACACTTCTTCCTTCATCCCCATTTTCACCAGCCTTTAAAATTGCGGGAACAGATTCAGAGCTATTAGGACAGTTGCTGGGATCAGCACAATTATCCAGGTCAGTGGACTTATCATCACAAACCAACGGTTTCTCAGGTTCCAAAGAGGTGACATCTCCACTAAACCAATGACTCTTGTCATCCATACTGGCTGCATATACTAGACGGTGGTCCCAAACATAAGATTGAAAAAGGAGCTGTCTTCTCAATCGATTGATCTCCAAAATATCAACAGACTGCCCCTTTTTAACTTCCTCCATCAGAATTCTCTGGAGAGATTCCTGCTAATATCAGTACCGAATTAGAAATATCCTATTAGATCAGGACAGACAAGTTAAGCTCAACAATGCAAATCGTTAACAATGAAAACAACCAATACAAAATCTAATGCATCAGACAGTATCGGTAGACAGATTGCAACACAGACAACAGAGAAGATAATTTCACCACAGTTTGTATACCACAAGCATGACAAGGTTATAAACCCGCAATCAAACTGACATAGGGAAATAGACCTATTTGTCAGAGAGCTAACTGGTCACTCAAGAAAAAACAAGTGGAGCACTTAAGTGTAATTACCAGTGGTCAATATCCTACAAGCACATAGAAGTAGTGCTAGGGAGAGAGTAGTTAATAATGTCTACATGACCATGTAGGTTAAACAATGGTCAATTAATGATCACTGAACCCTCTCACAAGTCCAATCCGTTGACTCATACCTCAAATTCTTGTTTCTCCTTCTGCAACATCCCTTCCAAATCAGAAATCTGACGTCTTGCTTCAGGTACATTAATGCTGCTGTTAAGTTGTCTCCCAGATCTCTTCTCTACCAAAAGCCGAATTGCATTAAGGACCTCAGCGAACAAAAGTTCAGCTCGGAAAATGACCTGCTTATATTAAAACAGCAAATCAGTAAAGGGGGATATCAGATGCCAGCAACTCAAAATCCAATCACATTCTTTTTACCTCATTCACTTCATGTTCTATCCATTCCTGATTCTCATAGTTGAAATCCAGTTTTGAGGGAGGAAGGTATACTGAGTGAACATCAATGGATGCATAGCGAAAGCAAGCAACCATCTTTCCGAAGCTGCAAAAGTTACAAAATGAGTATTGCAAAATACTCAACGTTTCAATATTTTCCAGCAAGATATATTATCATCATCGCTTAGTCTTTTTGACCATTAACTATAGAATCATGCCAACGTATTAAATATTGTGTGTGACCAATAAGGAGAAAGCATTTCATACTACCAAGAGAGTAAGATCATACCCGTAAAATCGAAGACAATCTC